CTGACTGTGCCGATTTTGTCCTGACAGTAAACACGAACAAAACAGTCATCATGCACAAACAGTCACCCAGCGCGGAATACAATGGACCGCGAACCACTGCCAACGGCACGCAAAGCACAACTGTGGATAACGTGGCCATTCAACACACCCCTTATCTGCACATTCTGTCATCCCTGATTCCGGTGTCAAAGAGGAGTCAATTACGTAAAAGGCGGAATCAGGCTTAGTTACTGACATGTTTAACCAGGTTAACTAGGAGTCTAGCATACATCTGGTCTGCACACATTTGGCCAGGGTTTCACATCAAAACACGGACGGCTCCGATCTCCTTCGGGGGGAATGCCGTAGAGGCCACACTAAGAAGGAATCAGTACAGCTTGACTCTCTCCTCTGAAAGAATGACTGAGGCATCCTGTTAGCTGGCGCCTTTCGAAGCTACCGCTTTTAGCGCTACGTGATAGCTTAAGTGCACGCCCGCTTGTTTATATGTAGTGTGGAATATGCAGTCAGCGTCGTCGGAAGACGACCCTCAGGGAGGACCACAATCCCTTTTCCCCCACGCACACCAGCTCGCTGTCCAAGATTTCAGCCATCTAGTGTTGAGAGTCAGCGCATAAATTTTAAATGGCCAACTACGAGAATAAGACAGCTGTTCATTTCTTCATTACTGTTATTGCACTCGATTGAATGCCAGGATAACATACAGAGGTCAGTAGTTCGATCGTCGGTTGTCAGACATTCCGCACTTATCCAGACGCTAACAGTATTCCGACCTCCGAGCAACAGGAAGTCTTGCAAATAATTCAGTTCAGAAAACCAGTAAGCGAGCATACGCGTACTTATGATAAATTCACTTCGGTCCAGTAAATTTAAGTACACGTTAAAACATGTGGTCAATGATTTTCGTTTTTTTCGTGCAAGTTTTTATACCCCCCAGTTACGTCTTAGGAGGAGAAGGCAGACAACACTTTACTGTCACAGTTCCTGCTAGTACATCAGTTCACTCTTCTGTGTATCCGTCAGCAGCGTGTCCTCTGTAGTCAGCAGCATGTCTTCTGTCGTCGGTAGTGCGCTCTCGTGTGGGCCAACAGGTCTCTTGTCCCAACAGCAGAATCTCGGGTCGTCGGTAGAGCGTCTCGGCAACAGAGTGCACCTTTTGTTCGCAACGGCGTATTTAAGGGCCAGTATTCATTGTTCCCTATTGGCTCTCCACGAGTGGCCGATC